AGCTGAAAGTCCTGTCCAGCCAAGGGCCTCCCCACCAGACCACAGCCCTGGAGACCAGCGATGGGGTGAGGCCAGGCAGAGCCCCTCACAGCCCCTGCTCCACCACTGTGCAGCAAGATGCTAGCACAGACTGCTCTTTTATCTTACAGGATTTCAATTTTTGGGGGTTTTTTTGGTGAGAGTAGTTCCAATAAAACCAAATTTCCATCACATGCACCTCCAAGTAACCTCAGCTCTTTCTCATAGCATTTGATTACAAACAAGAGGACATGTTCCTAGTCTCATTTATCTCACAAGGCCTGGCACATTGCAGGGGTTATTATCTGGCCCCATGTTTATCACAGATGGGGAAACTGAGGCTTGGGAAGGGTCTGAGTTGTAAGCAAGGTCACATGCTGATGGCAGGGAGCCTGGTACAGAGTAGGCTGTTCAGTAAATGTTTCAGTGAATTACTACAAAAATGAGTAATACAAATTGCTTTCTATTTTCAAATAAAAAATAAAAAGCAACTGGTGTTGCATGTTCTGAGCGATTAGCATGATTAACTGGAATGACTCACTCCCTCCTCGACATCCTATTATCACCCTGTGTAGAGAGGAGAAATCAGAGGCCCAGAGAGGTTAAGCAGTGTCCCAAGATCACACAGCTAGTAAGCAGTGGAGCCAGGACCAAGTCCAGCCAGGCTGGCTCCAGGGATCACACTCTTATCCACCTTATCAAACTGCCTATGAGAAGGAAGAGGAGGAAGAGTTGCAGCCACGCTGTCTGCAGACCTTCCTGTCTGCTGGGAGACTTCTGTGTGTGCTGTCCAAGATGGCAGCCACTGGCCATGTGTGGCTACTGGAGTGGCTGCAGGGAAGCAGCCTGCCCACCCGGATCTGGTGCACGGCCCCAGCCCTGGGCATAAAGAGTCCTTCCTCGGGGTTCAGACTATTCAGCTGCTCTTCAGAAGGAGACAACTTGGGGAGCAATGAAGGAGCCCCACCTGCCCCACATAGCCAGCCCAGAAGGGAGGACAGGAGGGCCTGTCTCTCAGCACAGCCGCCCTCTCCATCCCTGTGGCTACGCCTTCTTGCCCCACTCTCCTTCCTCCCTGTCCTTCTCCCTTCTCGACTTCCTGCGAGCAGATGACCGGCTAGCAGCTCCTACACATCCAGAGAGGGAAAGTGTGACTCCTCCAGCCCTGACACTGTGGCCCCGGGGCAAGGTCATGCCTCCAATCCAGTCAACTGGAGCCAGACTTAGTCTCTCTACTTAGGGGCTTATCGGAGGTGGCAAAGCCCTCATCCCTGCCAGGCACTTGGCATGAGGCTGCCTCCTGAACTACTGTCAGCTGGTGTGTGTGTGGGGAGTGCACACTCATTTTAATATTGGCCAGAACTAAACCTCATTAGAAAAGTAAATTTGCTATAGCTGCAGAAAAAAAAAAAAAAGCAACCCATGTAACCCTTCCAAAGCTAAATAGAAAACACTAATTTTGGGTTATTTGATGCTTTGTGTCCTCAGAACCTGGGATAGAGCCCGGGACACAGTAGGTGCCCGCTCTGAGCTGTGGAAGTCGACTGGGTTGTCAGTAACCTCTTTGCCCATCCTGTCACCTTTCAGCATGGATAATAAAGTTGCAGATTTGGAATTTGTATGTTTCATGATTTTTCTTAGACAATCATTCCCTGAAAAAAATGGAATGATTCCATTTCACAATGACTAGACATAAGACTGTTGTTATTTAGCTGGGTTTCTCTGGGATGAAGGCTGGGGGCAGCTCAGTCTAGGGTATGGCCTGATGAAATGGGTGAGGGTGGGATGTGGGACAGCAGCAATTCTGTGGAATTAGTGGCATAGCTGGCCTGGTCAAAGAACACAACTCCAAATTCCAGAGCCACTCGGGTTCTGGGAGGATGGAGGGCAGGAGAGTGAATAGAATAAATTAAGGCCCATCTAGTGCTTCCCCTAAAAACAATCTGGTTAGATGAGGGTTCCCCAATTTACAGAGTGTCACAAAACCAGGACTTAGAGGGGCCTTGTTTTGTTCTTAAAGTCCACTCAGTTTGTAATAGCTGGACTGAGGCAGGACCCACAGAGGCTGTGTCTGTCCGGGCCCCTTGCTGGTCTTCAGCAGAGTCTCCAAAGGTCTAGCCTGGAGCCTTGGTTTGGGGCGGTGGTATATGAATCGGGCTTCTCTTCCTCCTTCTCCCCAGCTGCCAGGCCCATTCACCCCATGTCTTTTGCATCACACTGGATTCCAGGACCAGGAGGGGTGGCAGACGCCAGAAGGTGAAGAGCCCTCGGCATGGGAGATGGCATGGCAGGGTCTCCTGAAGACGCCTGCATACTCAGTGCTCTTGGAGTCACAGCTTGTCTCCTCTGCCTTTTGGGGCCCCCTGCATTCCCCAGAGCCTTAGACTGTTCAGTGCTCCATTGAGAGGCTCAGCAGGAGAGGATAACTGCCAGTAGAAGGCTGTGGGAACTTTAGAAGGAACATCTCTGGTACCCAACCTCTCCTGGCTTCACACACCCTCTGTGCCACACTTCCGTCTGAAGGTCTCAGACTCTGATTCCTTCTATTCTGGAGGAGGCCCTGCTTCTCCTCCATTCTTAGCAGAGAGGAGCGCTCAGGCATCTCTGTGCTAGCTCAGCACTTGCTTCCAGCCACAGAGGGCCACAGGCTCCCTCATCCAGATCCCAAGGTTCCCGGCCCATGTGTCTTCCTCCAGGTCTGAGCTGCCTCATCACCTGGGGCTCCACCTAAGAAGAACATATTGACTCCCTTCTCCCCTGAAATACTGCTGTGGGAAAATCAGAAGCCCAAGTAGAAGAAATGGGCTGCTCTGGAGTCCTGGGTCTCTACCACAGACTTCCATCCTGTTGCAGGAGCTGTGCCCCTCAGCAATTTACCTGCCCCTTGCTTCAGATGCTCAGAAGCATGTATGCCCATGTTCAACCCAGCACACAAGTCTTGATGGCTCACCAGAACATGCAGTGTTTCCCAAGCATGGAAGGATCTGCTATGGCAATGGAAACAGTAAGGCGTTGGCTGAACAGGGCACAAATGCGTTAACCCTCCCTGCTTCATTAACCCTAGCCAGCACAGGAGTAGAGGGAAAATGACATGCAACTCCAGAACCCTTCAGGATGCTGGGCACACACAGCCTGGGCTGAGAAGTCTCTGGGAGGATCTTGCAGGAAAGGCCCTTCATCCAGAATGGGAGGGCTGCATGTTTAGTCCAGTAAAGCCAATAATTGTCACTAGCTAAGCAAGTTCTGGGGGGAAACGTCTCAACACTGCAGTGACTCTTGACAGCAGTAGGGGAACAGGGGCAGAAGACAATTCTTAGAGAGCTCTAGAGCAATGGTCTTACACAGTCCCATGCCCCTCGACCCCAGTAACTTAGGAAGTGGCATTCCTGGGGTTTCCATACAAATACACAGAGTAACATCACAGTGTTCCACACCAGGACATCCACCCCCAACCATTTTTAACAGTGTGTGCCGAGCAGTTCAAGCTCAGATCCCATCATGTCCCCCCACCCACACTGGTGTCGACAAAGACAGAGCTGCTCTCACCAGTAAGGATGAGCCACTGTCTGCCAGAGGCCCCTTCTAGGGTCCTGTGCAGTGGAAACCTCTGGAGTCCCTGGGCTCCAGCTTCTACAAGAAGCCATCTAGCTAGTGACTGCGGAGACTAGGTCTCAGCTGGCTGGAGGGAGAAAGGAAAGGAGCCAGTCAAGACCATGTCCTCATCTGTGTGTGCACACGGGTGGCAGTCTCTACCTCGGCTGCTTAGGATGAGGCTGTCCACTCCTTGCCCTGGCACCGCTGGATCCAGTGGCTTCCTTCTTTCTTCCTTCCCTGCCTTAACTCTCAGCTTCTGTTTTGAAGTTACGTGCTTTAATTGGAGGGACCAGGTCCTCAGGCCTGAGCCCAGTCCCAGAGGGGAGAGGAGGGACAAGAAAGGTCTTGCTTTCTTCCTCCCAGGTGCAGTGAAGGTCCCAAGGAACCTCTGGCACTCTTGCCACCTCTCAGTGCCCTGGCATCTCCTGAGGATCTGCAGAGCCTGGTCCCCTGAAGAGAGTTAACTTGCCAATGCCGGGAGGGAGCCACAGGGCAGGGGGTGGGGGGCTGCTGAGAAGTGGGCAGGGGCTGCTGGCCTGATCCTCCTCGGGCCACTAGGAACCACCTGCTGAAGCGGCAGAGGGGCAGGCCGCTGAGAGCTGGAGGATCGATCATTAGGAGCTGCCAAGGACCGGCGCTGCTCCCCTTTATCCCCGTCTGAGGATGGCAGGCAGAATCCATCCAGGTTTTGTTTCGCAGCCCCTCGGCGGCGCAAGGCCTCCCTGCCTAGGCCCCCTCTCCGGTGCCTTCTCCGCGCGCAACACACACACACACACACACACACACTCACTCACACACTCACATGGCACGCGCGCACCCAGGAGGACATGGCGTGGAGACTGGCGGGGCCGCATGAAGGGGCTCTGTGCACGCGGGCGGCAGGGCGGGGGCACTGACCTGCGGCGGCGAGTCGGGGTCTTCCGCGGCTCGGTCCATCGCGGGCGGCGCTATGCCCCGGTCCGGGCGCCTCCGGGCAGCTGCCCTGGGCCGCGCTCCCCGGGGACTCTCGGGCTCGGGGTCCCCGGGGGCCACTTCATCGTTCGCCGGCCGCCCGGCCCGCGGCTGTGCGCTCGGCGAGGCGGCAGCGGGGCGCGCGGGAGCGGAGGGGCCGGCGCGGGAGGCGGGAGGCGGGAGGCGGGGGACCGAGCAGGGCCGCGGGGCCCTGGCAGTGGCGGCGGCGGCGTCGGCGGCGGCTCGGTGCAGCTCGGCGGTGACAGCGCCTCCGCCCCGCCCCCCCTCCCCGCCCCCCCGCGCGCGAGCTGCCGGCGGGACCCGCGCTGCTGACGGTCGGTACCAACCTAGCCAGCAGAGGCGGGGGCGCGAGGAGGCCGCGCGGAGGACCCCCCCGAGATTGGTATCACCTACCCCATCCCAGCCTGTGAGCGCGCGCCCTCCCGGGCTGAGGCAGTCGGCTCCCGGCGCTGGACCCGGGGCTGCGGGCGGGGCCGGACGCGCCCGGCTCGGCGCCCCCGAGTCAAAGCCCCGGCCCCTACTCGCACCCCGAACCGCCCCGCCTCCATCCTGGCTGCTCCTGGCGCCCAGCTTGGCAGCCTCTCTCAAAGGGTGATTGTTTCCGGGCCGGGCTGTTGGGGGGCGGGTCTCTGGGACCGGGAGGCAGGGCTGGAAAGCGGGGAGGGTGCGGCCCCCTCACCGGGTGCAGGAGCCGCGGAGTGGAAGGAGGCCAAAGGGCCCGCGGGATCTTGTCAGGATAGGGGGCTGCTTGTGTGGGGCAGAGGTGATGCTGACCAAGGGGCGGCCCTGTCTGTGGGCACTGCTCCATCTTTGAGGTGCAGGTCAAGCTGGGAGTGTCAGCGTCCCAGCCCCCTCACCACCAGGACAGTGCGCTGGCTATGCACAAGGCGGAGGCTCTGGCCGGGCTGTCGGAGGCGGAGGAGCAGAACGGGGGGCGCAGGCCACCCGTGGTTTCCCAGGCGCGCTGTGCCATGTGAGCTGGTGGGCTGTGTCGCCAGTAAGGCAGTGTGGATGTGTGCAGAAGTGTGCATGGCTGTGTGCGTGTGCAGAGGTAGAGTTCATGTAGCCACCTAGGGAGAGGTTTCCAAATGCCCTTTCCTCCACTTGCCAGAGACATAGAGCTATCCTTGGACTCCAAAAGGTATACATCAGACCCGGTCCCCAGGACAGCGGTCCTCAGGGCCATCCCAGCTCCTGTAGGGTGTCACGGCTTTCCGCAGGCTCTGTGACCTGTGGTACCGTGGGCCAAGGCCTCTTTCCCCATCACCTTCTCTGCTCGGGAGCACCAAGCCAAGCCCTGGTTCTTTTATGGGGCATGTGTGGTGGGATGGGTAGGGTGGGGGCTTCAAAATCACTCACTTTGGTCAAGACCTCGCAGTGAGGCAGACTTTCAGAATACATAATCAGTCACAATCACTAAGGACCGCTGGCCTTCCTCTCACTCCCTCTTCCTTCCTGGGCGCAACAGTTCTCCTCAACAGAAAGGAAGTCCTTCCAAATCTAACCTGAGCACCTCCTGCTGCAGTGCAGGATAATTTCCTCCTTCTCTTAATGCAGCATGGATCACAGCCATCCCTGCTGTGTGCCTTCCTTCCCCTGGTGGGATGGCCCAGGCTCCTTTAGACTTTGCTAAGAAAATCTTTCCTGGGACCACATTTTCCTTCTAATATTCCCTTCTGTGCACACTCTCCTTCTCCGTGACTCCACATCAACTAGAGAGCGGGTACAAGAACAGGAAAATGGAGCATCAGAGCATGCAGAGGAGAGACCAGGCCCAGGGTGCGCTGCCACTTCCTTCCTGAACTAGCCAGAACCAGGCACAGAATCAGCAAATGGTCCAACAGTGGCTCCCTTGGAGACTGCCTGCTTCCAACTGGGTTTTACCAGCAGGAATTGGGGCCACAGCAGACCCCATCAGTGTGTGCTCACACCCAGCTCTCTTTTCTCCAGCAGGGACAAGCTCCTGAGTGGGATCTCAGGGCCATGGCAGTGAGGAGGCCTGTGCTCCACCAGCTCTGAAGATACCAGCTACGTGATGGGCTGAGGTCTTTAATCAGTCTTGTCTCTAAGTCGAGAACAGGGTTGCACTAAGTGGCCCCTTGGGATCCTAAGAGGCTGCGGCCTTGGGGTGCAGTTTGCAGGTGTCTGCATTGCCCTCTAGCTCATGGAAGCTTGAGCAGCTGGAGCGGGAAGGGCAGCAAGCTTCATCTCACTAATCATGTAAGAACAATAGTGATAATAAAACCCCTTGCTTGGGACCTGTTTTGCAATTTAGCCCCAGGGTCTGTTTATGGAATTTTTTAATATTAATTTTTAATGCCAATTTAAAAGAATAATGTGAGATTTAAATTAGCATGAGAAGGCTCAGTAAAGAGACAATAGTCTGCCATTTGTTTCTGTGGCAAGTTTTGGCAACACCCCAAGTGCATGGACACACATACACACACACACACAGATCTATGTAGACACAAAGCATGCACATGGAGCTAGATACACATGTGAGTGCAGAAAAACTAATCTCTATGAACATCCTGTCCTATAGCTGCTCTGCACATAGGAATGCATGCACACGTACACGCCCACACACACCCGCCTGTGCCACATGGGCAGCAGTCCCCACCAGGTGGTCTGACCCAGAGCTGTCACCTTCTTACTCCTTTTCTCTGTCTCTCTGCTTGGTCTCTGCAAGTCTGGAAAAATCCATTCCACATCTGGATTTGGTACAGCCCCACAACTTGGCTCTTGATCCAAATATCTGGAGCAGCCTCCAGGTGTTCCTGAATTACCCATCTTTCTCTCCTTCTTCCTTCTCTGTGAGGAGAGAGCCCCTCTTCTCAGAGGCCCCCGAAGCCAAGCACAAGTATGTTTAGTATGCAAAGCTCGGGTCTGTCCTCTGGGACAAGCCTTTATGTGTTTATTGTGTAGTTAAGCAGGACAGAATCCCTGCCCCCGCTCTGGTCTTGGCCCAGTTCCCATAATCTGAGTCCCAGAAGGGTCCTATAAAAGCATCATCTGCAATGCAAAACCGGCAAAACATCTGGAAGGGTCCGTAGGTTTTCTCCAAATCACCTGTGCCCTAATTTAATATGAATAACAATTAGTTTACTCTTATCAGTTAATTGTTCCCCTAGCTGGTTCTGTCTGCCTCAGCCTCTCTTCCATCAGGATTGTGCTGGTCCTCTTCAGGCCAGTCTCTCCTTCTGGGCCAACCATCCTAGGGAGTAACAGCTGAGCTGCCTTTGCCTGTGCACCAGCCCCAGCCCCCAGGCTGCCATCTTAGCAGTGTACTTGCTAGGGTACATTTTTAGAGCCAGCCAACATCCTCTCCTCCACAGGGAATCCACAGCCATGATTTTGCTGATGAGGGCAGAAAGGCCCAAGGAGGAGTCCACCATCATGCAGTGCACGTGCTCACCCACCATTGCCCAGGCAGGGACACAAGAAACTCACAGTGAGAGCACCAGGCACCACCAAGAAGCCCTAGGAACACTGACCCTGTCTCTACAGTGGGGTGAGTCCTGGGGACCCAGTCCTGCTCTGACTCTGCACAGCGGTATGTATGTGTGGGTGGTTGAGTTTGGAGCTCTGAGTCTTTTATTAAGGTGCCTCTGCTCTGAGCTTCGGATTGTGGCACACCCTTGTTGCCCATGGTAAACTGGAGGTGGCTATTTGGTGCAGAGACTCTCAGATCCCACTTGCTTGCCTCTTTCCCAACCTTCTGAATTCTCTCAGGTATCCCAGTCCTTGGAAGAGTATAGGTGTGTGGCAGTGGAGTGCAGTGTCATTTAATGGTCCCTGTGCTTTGCTTTCTGTGGCTGAAGGAAGCCTGAGAGGAGTGGAGCCCTGTGCCTCAGTGAGGGCAACTCTGGGACAAGTCTGGGGTGTTCTGTGGCCTGTTGGAGATGTGTGAGGAACCCAGTTGCCCCTTGTGGAGTCCACTCTTCCAGATTTCCTGAAAGCTCCTTCCAGCCGGGCTCTGAGGCCCTTGCTCTTTCCCTCAGCCTCCCCTGACCATCAGGGATCACAGGCAGTGAACTACTTTTCTCCTGAGTCCCATAGCACTTAGTTCTGGACATCTCTGTGGGCTTGTCTTCACGTCTACATGCTTTTATTTATTTCCCTAATATATACTGAGCTCCTGTCATATGGTTCTTCCTGCCTGAGAGAGAGAGAGCGAGAGGGGAGAAGAATGACAGCCACTAGGATGGTTAACTTGACTGGGCCCTTTGTGTATACCAGGCATTGTTTTAAGTCTCTGATTTTATAATGTAAGGGGTTACTTAGGAGATGGTAAGTTTCTATAATAGTTTCATTTTGTATGTCAGCAATCTGGGGCATAGTATGTAGGTAACTTAATCAAGGTCACATGCTCACTAAGTGGCAAAGTTGGCCTTTGGTCAGGTGATTGAGTTCCAGACTTTTCAGCTGTGTGTTCCCTGGGGGCTGACTGCTGGTGGATGCCAGAGAGATACACAAGACACTCATGGATATGGAAGGTGACAAACTGGGTCAAACCAGCTCACGGGCAAGAGAGCACCCAGAGGAGGCTGAGGGAAGGTGTCTTCAAGAAGGTTGCCCTGGAGCAGAGGCCCGCAGAAGGGCCAGTGGTGTATGGTGTTGGGAGAACAGAACCCAGACCAGCAGACAGCATTGGCACAGCAAGGCTGGTGTGCGGCGAGAAGGATGTTCTCTTCACAGTGCAGGACTCGTGTGCAGGACTGGGCTCATGCACTGGTGTCTTCTAGGGAGAAGCTGTTCAATAAATATGATGGATGTAGTTGTTTAATTTCCTGCCTAACTCCCATCCACAGCTGGGGTGATGGGCAAACATGGACTCCTCACACTGTCTTTCTGCATTTGGAAGACATAACCAGGGAGTTTGAAGACTTCCCTCACAGGTGCTTTGGTTTCATTCTTCCATTTCTTCATTCAGTCATCCCAATTTCACTGAGCTTACTTTGGCTGAAAATGCAGAAATGAAAGACTAGCTCTTGCTTCCAGTCCATGGCCCTCTCAAGATGAGGCATCTGTGTCTCAGTTTCATTGTCTGCCTTTCCCCATGAGCCTTCCCCTGGACTCTTCTGAGGGAAGGGAGACACAGGCAGAGGACAGGTTGTTGGGAAGTTTGTGGGGACCTGGGCTGGGGCTACTGCAGGTGCAAAACCTGGGAGAGAAGGAAGAGCAAGCAATGCAAAGCTGCCTCCAAGTATGTTTTTATCACCTAAAAATAGTCGGGGCTGTAATGACTTTTGGGGGGATGGGAGAGGAGGGAGAGAAGGCTATAAGAGGTGCAGAGAAATCTTAGATAGCTGGGGTGATAAGGCATATTCTGAAAGATATATTTAGCAATATAAAGTTTCAGAAAAGACAGCATATTAAAATCAGGCTTCTCTCCTCCCTCTCAAGCTTCCTCTGGCCTAGGACTATTCTAAATTTCTCTCTCTCTTTTATTTTCTGGAGCTCAGAGTGTTACTGACACTGGGGAGAGGAACACGCATCCAGTGTATCTGGACATTCTTTCCTCAGCCTGACAGCATGTCGCTGAACCATATGTTAAGGCAGACAGGGAGAGAGCATCACATTGCATACTCCCTGATGGATCACTGATGGTGGGAGCCTGATGGGGCTAAAGAGCATGGCCCTATTGGCTTTATGAGACAAACTCATCTGTAGGATTTCCGGGAAGGGAGAAAGTAGAAATATGGACTCATGAGCAGAGAGTGTTGTATGTTGGGGGTGAGCTTTTCCTTCCTCATACATCAGGAATACAGGTGGAGCAAGTCCACTTGAAAGTCTGAATAGTACTCTCAGCAAACCGCACAGTGGTTGGCTCTTCCCTGAGATCCCAGAGGTGGCAGTCCTGGGCTCATTACCCAGCCAGTGGCCCCAGGCCTCTGTGGCTGTACCCATGCCCAGAGCTGGGAAAACCATAGTTTATTTTGTGGCTACTTCCTGCCTGGAAGCATTCAGTGTCTCTGTAGGGAAGCTGGTCATCTGTCCTCACACAGCCTAATTAGGGAAGAAGGGTCAGCAGTGTTAGGGAGAGCTTTAATATAGCCCCTGGGTTTGGGCACACATCTGACAGTTCTAATTCTCCAGCTCTGTTTTCTGCAAATGGATGGTCATTTTGGGCTTTCTGGTCTCTAATCCTCCATTCAGCAAAGCAAACACCCTAAATCCTCAATAATGTAGGTTTCACAGTCTCACACATGCACGCCTATGTTTCAGCACCGAGGCCAGCACCACTCATGCGCTGCATATGTTCTTGCATCTGGACAGAAGCAGTGTCAGGGAGCAGAAGGCCAACTTGGGCTTGGCAGGAGGGCATCACATTGTGGAAGCCATACTGATGACCATGTGGAGCCTTTTTTCAGGCCTGGTAGTTGTATTTCTTTGAAAAGGAAATCTTTAAAGGATGTTCTTTAAAGTAACCAGTAGACAAGGCATACAAGTGGAAACAGTGTATTCAGAGAGGACTGACAAAGGCTGAGAAAGAAGGCCTACATTCCAAATGAAGGGACTGAGCTAGATCAGGAACAGCAAATCAATTTATCTTGCATGCCAATTTCAGTAAACTGTAGGTGTGTGAAGTGCTATGAAATGTTTTGCAGTCACATCTGTGATGAACAGAATGGAGCACCATGACCGTTAGTGATGTCTACCTGGAGTGGGTGGGAGGACAGTAGGAAAATTGTGTGTGTGTGTGTCTGTGTGTGTGTGTGTGTGTGTGTGTGTGAGAGAGAGAGAGAGAGAGAGAGAGAGAGAGAGAGAGAGAGAAAGGGAAAGAGAAAGAGAAAGAGAAAGAAAGAGAGAGATTGATTTAAACATTGTCTGTTGTTTGCAGTTGATATACTGGAAAATATATTTTACTTACCTACAGTGAGCTTACATTCTAAAGGGAAAAGGGACAAGTAAAGAGGAACAAAACAGTGGGATAAATGCAGTGTTCTGTGGGGCTGATGGCACGTTCTTGGGCATAAAAGGAATGGTGAAGTCCCAGCCCATTGAGTTCCTCACATCAAATTAAAATTGTCTCTATATGAGGAGGCACAACTAGCAGAACTTGAAAACAAGATTTCCAAGAGTTAAATTCTGATGTCTAGAAAAGAGCTCCCAGGTTCTGATGAATCTAGGCAAGATTTTGATAAGTGATACTTGTCTATCAGTGCAGGATGGGTAATCACAAAACCATCTCCTAGAACCAGGTTGGGTTTCATCACCCACAGACTACCTAGGAGAGTCCAGCAGACTACAAATTCAAAAGCATATTTAGAACTGCAAATATCTGAGGGTTGGAAGTTATCCACGTTTAGATTACAGGAAGGCTGGGAATGTCTTGACATATGAGCACTTGGGAAGACCACTGGAGTCAGGTCCAGAAACACAGCATGTGTCTCTAGGACAGCTTTTCTAATAACTTTTTTGTCTTCAATCTCTGGGAAACCACTACCATCTTTGTAAATCTTAGCAGATTTATTTGTGATAAACTCAGTGTGAAAAAATTTAAGCAAGAGGAGAATGGATACTAACTTTACAACAGGGTACACTGAGGCCCAGAGAAGAAAGAAACTGCCCAGGGCACATTGCATGGCCTAGCTCTCCTGCATGTACTGACACCAGTGGGCCTGGAGAGCTGGGACACAGCATGGTCAAGGCCTCTGGCTGAAGACTGAAATCCATAGCGGCAGTGAACGGAGAATCTCCATGCCTCTCTCTCTCTCTTTTTGTGGTATGATCCTTTAATTCTTGGCTTTTATTTTTTTCTCCCTTCCACTGCCCTCCCTTCACCCCCTCCACCCTTCCCTATTTGCAAAGAATTTGTTTCCATTTTTTTCCTTTTCTCATATTTTTTCTTTTCTCTTCTTTCCTTTTACCTACCCCTCCCACTTCCCCTGCTCCTTTAGACCTTTACTTCCTATTACACAATATCAATTATACATTTTTAAAATTAAAATATCAAGACCTAGGA